TCAAGATTTTGAAAAACAAAACTGAAAGAAAACGAAATAATCATCCAACTCCCTTTAGATTTCACACATACAAACATTTTCGCTAACACAATATTTGTTGTGAAGATGGAATATATCTGCGAACCCCTTCCGGTACATCACCCACAAGGGGTCACAATTTTCAATGCCTTTATCTGTCATAACTTGCGAAACAAGTCGATGATTCTTTACAACTTGCTATATCTAAATATTTCTCTCAACCGGAAACATGAGATGAATATGGAATAATGTACGATTTTCTTGTAATTGTGCCCATACTAATATTTAATGTGTATTAGGAAAAAGTATATCAAATAAAAAAGCAGAAAGTTCGGTCGGGCCGAGCTTTGAATACCCTCTACCATTTGGAAAGGATTTGGATATTAAAAAATACTTTTAAAAATCATAAAAATACCGAATATAGAGAGTTATCGTAATATGGGGGTATATACGAAAATGTGGACCTGCACAGCCAAGTTTTGTCATAGTCCATTACAATATTCAAATAGGAAACTTGAAAAAATCCGGTAAATAATATCGCAAAAACATCATAATACCGAATACGAAATATGAAAAAAATTGGTGAATAATGTCATTAAAGTCATCAAAATACCGATCATTTCCAATACCAAAAGCCCTGTAGACCAAACACACATCTGAGTAAATTTTATCAACCTACTACAAACGCCTCGGAAGCTAGAGTGATTTTCACAGATGGACAGACAGACGGATGGACATCACTAAATCGACATTGAATCATTGCTGATATCTATATATACGCTGATTCAAAGTGAAACACACTGACTTGGTTCATTTTTGCTTTGAATAAAAACGAAAATGACAGTCGTGGACTTAGGTTTTTTAACGTTATCTTTGGAACGAAACACTTTTTGACATTGTGCTTTACAGAGTAAACAGAGTTGCCATATGCGGGGACATTGGCACTAGTTTCGGCATTTTTTATTTTTCATGACTTGGTTCGGTATAGCAGTGAGCCCTCCATATGTCAATGATGTCATTTGAAAAGTATTTTATGATACAAAATGCTTTTGATGATATGCAATGTTTTATATGTTATAAGACATTAAAAAAAATAAGAAATATAATTTAAAAAAACATTTTGAAACTACTTAAATAAATGCATTTATCAAGAGTATTACTAAAACATGTATATTCATTAATTTTACATTTCATAGAAAAAGAAAAAAAATGACAACACCCGCCACACATATGCTTTCGTCGCTATCCCGTTGACGACTAAATAAAATGAATAGAAAAATCTTTTCTTCCAGTGTTATTTTGTCGCTCTCACCAACACTATTACATTGGGCATCTATGATGTAAATGTAAAATGTTACCAATAATAACTAATTGGCCACAAATGTCATGCAAAGTGCGAAAAAACGAGGAATGAGGCAATAAATGAAAAACTGAACACTTGGAAAATTCCAAAGAAAATGTTAAAGATTTAAAAAAATTCCAATCGAACAGCAACAAATATGAAATCTTTAAAAATCCTTAAAAAAATTTAAAATTTATTTTTTGAAAAATATTTTTGATGGTCCCCAACGCATGTGGATATTTTTAAAAATATTTTTTAAGTTCTCCAACAAAAAAAAAAAATTGTAAAAAAATATTTTTAAAAAAACTCAACCACCTTGATATTTTTTTTAAGCTCCACCTTGGAAAGGAGGGTATATTAACTTTGTCATTCCGTTTGTAACTCATTATTTTAGACCCAACAATGTATATATATTCTTGATCAGTGTAAAATTCTAAGACGATTTAGCCTTGTCCGGTCGTCAAGCTGTTGTAATCACGCTAGAGTCAAAACGAATAAAGATGGGAAGCTAAAATTGTGCACCGATCTGTCTTTTGTCTGCAGGCAGGTCAATTTCGAAGATGGGCTATACCGATATTCAATACTTTGGTGCTTTTAATGACATTTTTCAATAGAATAGTCTGAAAATCCAAACAAGGAGTTCCTTTTGAGTACTTAAGAGAAAGAGATTTGTCTATATAGGTCCACGATATCGCATGTTCCTCATACAACTGTACCTCCCGATACTCGGAATTTTGTCTGAAATAGTCTGAAAATCCACACAAGCAGTTCCTTCTGTGTACCTAACCTCCTGAAAGAGAATTGTCTATATAGGTCCACGATATCGTATATTTCCCTCATATAACTGTACCATCCGATATTCGGAATTTTGATGATTTTAGCCACATTTTTTAATGGAATTGCCTGAAATTCTACACAAGGAGTTTTTTGTGAGTACTTTACCCCCTGGAAGATAACTGTCTATATAGGTCCACGATATCATATAGCCCCCATACAATGATGACCCCCTATATTCGGTATTTTAATGATTTTAGCCGCATTTTTCAACGGAATAGTCTGAAAATCCACACAAGGAGTTCCTTCTGAGTACTTTACTTCCTGAAAGAGAACTTTCTATATGGGTCTACGTTTTAGAATAGCGTTAACACCATATATACATACGTTACTCCAAAATATTCGGTATTTTCAGGATTTTTGTGACATTATTCACCGGAATTGCGTCAAATTTCGTATTTGAAGTTCAGAATTGTAGTAATTATCATAAAAATTAGCTTATCCAGCACCACGTCTTCGAAGAGTCCCCATATAAATGTTTTCATTTAAACGGTATTTTTCGACGGATTTTTTTTTTAAATTTTGAAATTCCCTCCGGATGGTGGAACTTAGCTGTTTTTTACTTGTTGTTTCTTGCACTGATTTCCACCAATCGTAGAGCAATTCTCATCGTTGTGGTCTTTCCTTGACCTTCTTGTAATATTTCTGGTCGCTATATCTCATTTCAGAGGCATTGAAGCCATCTTTTTGCACTTCGAATTCTTCTAAGTATAAACTTCTGCAAATTTTGAATTTATTTCATCAAGGTTAGGTTAGGCTGAAAAGAGGGGCGAAAACGATCGTCACATGTCCTGGTGGACTTAAGCCTAAGCTTAAAATGGTTGTTGAAAGATGTCCGAACGTAGGATTTTTGTGGTTTTCCCTACGCTTTCTCATTGCTCTGTTTTTTGCCAACGTCTTGAATTTTAGACGTGACGCATTTACCGGTATTGGATAATAATTGAAATTCAGTTGCCCCCTAAAAAATTCCTTAACTATTTTATTTAATTTACCATGATCTGAATTAGGTCTGGTATGGAGTCGTTCCCCTAAGTTTTGGGATCTGATATTTGCAAATGCTAAGCATTGACAGAGATAATGCTCCAAAGTTTTATTATCGTTCCCCGCATGCCCTGCATATGCTGTTATCTACACAACTTATCTTATACAGATAAGCCTGTAGGCTCAGGTGACCCATACGGATCCATGTTATCTCACTAATCTCTGTCTTGCATAAAAATCGAAGGTTCTTCGTTTTTATCTTATTGAGGTCGCTCCATAGGATATTTGTGGTTTTCCCTAAGCCTTCACATTGTTCCATAGGGATATATGGGCGTTTCTTGTCTTTAACTGTAGACGTGACGCATTTTGCGGTATTGGATTGTCTAATTGTTTACTGCTGCTAAATCCCTGTCTGTTTTGGCGAGAGAGTTCGCTATCTCGTTACCTCTAATTCCCAAAATGACCTGGGAATAGTTGTTGATTGAATTTATACGTTCCAACATGGTTTTTGAATTTAATGCTTTCGAATTTAAAGCTTTTATAGCGATATTACTGTCCGTTAGGACGTTTATGGTGGCCGGTCTTGTGTTGACATTAAGGCAGTTCAGACACTCTGCAATCGCCCGGACCATTACTTGATGGATCGCACTATGATTGGGCAAGCTTTTCTCTTGGACTTTTTGCTACGCCGTCCAACTTGGGACGCATTTAATTATTCTATTTGGGAATTTCCTTAACCCATTGTATACCAGAACACTTTTCGATATGTACATGCCAGGAATATTAATTTCCTTCATCTCTAAAATATCTTGAAATTTGTTTTGTTATGCTTCCATGCTTCATTCTCCGCTGTCTTGAAATTCATCAACTTTTTATACAGCATTACTTGCTGGACAGACCATTTCGGCTTTTAATCTTTGGCTTATTTTTCCCAAGCCTCTGTAGAGTACTCAAATGATAAAATTCTCAAAACTTCTTGCTATTCTTTTCCGACATTCTCTATAATATCTTGCAATTGGTTTAGATATTCTCCGGTATCTTAAAATTCATTTTCCGAAGCCTCTGCAAAGTACTTATATTTCTTGATGTAATTCCGTTAGCTTCCTTTTACGCTGAGGACAAAAATGTTCCCTTCTCCGCAGAAATTCATCAACTTCTTATACAGCATTACTTTTTGGCCAGGACCTTTCAGCACATTTTTCCAAGCCTCTGCAGAGTACCCATATATCTTGATGTAAATCAGTTGGCTTCCCTTTACGCTGAGGACAAAAATGTTCCCTTCTCTGCAGAAATTCATCAACTTCTTATACAGCATTACTTTCTGGATAGGTACTTTCAGCTATTAAACTTACGCAAATTTTTTCCAAACCTCTGTAGAGTACTTATATTTCTTGATGTTATTCGGTTGGCTTCCTTTTACGCTGAGGACAAAAATTTTCCCTTCTCCGCAGAAATTCATCAACTTCTTATACACCATTAATTTTTGGCCAGGACCTTTCAGCTTTTAAACTTGGGTAAATTTTTTCCAAGCCTCTGCAGAGTACTTATATTTCTTGATGCAATTCAGTTGGCTTCCTTTTACGCTTTAGACTATTGTTGCTCCGTCGCCATCTTGGGTTCCATTTGCGATTTTCGATAACTCTATCAAAATAATACGACGATTTTTAAAAATATTTTTAAAAAATTAATTTTTTTTACATATTTTCTTACCTCGTATGTTTCGGTCCCGTCTCTTCTTATTTGATTTATCACAATTGTTTTGTTTCATTATTTTTTTCTGTAATTTTTATTTCATGCGTTTTTTTTATCTTTTGTTACATTTCAGATGTCGATTGCAGCAGCAATGCTCAAGGCTATGATACGGGCATTGGCGGTTCAACATCGACAATTGTTAGCCCTCTGGGCTCGCCACAGCCGCAGTTAAGATCACAAGTGCAACGTGCAAATGCCGCAGCCATAGCTCGTTATATGCAGGTGAGTGTTGTGTATTTTTTTTTTTTATTATTTTCAAATTACCAACATCAAAATAAGAGAAACTGAGTGAGAATGTGGCAACATTTGAACTAGAGCCAGGCACAAAGACGCCAAGTGAAGTGAATTGAAGCATGTCGGAGTGTATCCTCCAAGCTATAAAGGCTTACACATGTGAGGAATTTTTTTTTTTGCTAGCTGGGGTGATATGAATGCATTCTATTCAGTTTATGTTGCAAATGTTTTGTTTTTATTTTCCTTGTTTATTATTTTTGAGATTTTTTTTGTAACATTTTTGTAACAAATATTTTTTTACACAAATATCTCAAAAAGTTTTGTATGGGAAAAATAACAAATGAAGTGAATGCTTAATTTGTGTAAGCTTGGATTTTCAAAATCTTGACAATTTTCGAATTTTAAATGTGTATGAAAAAAGATATGGCAATTATCAAGAGTTGCAATTTTTATTTATTTTTTAAATTTATAAAATTACATTTCAAAAACCCATGGTGGGAGGATACAGGACGCTTAAGCTCCTGTCAGCCAATAATTGTGTCACAATTACCGTGTGACACATGGACAGAATTTTAGTTGTGAAATACATGAGTAAAGTACATGTGTACTTTTTCGATCACAGCGAGCCCTATTTTCACCGAAAATATATAATTTATTCAAAAGTATTATTTTTTTGTTGTGTAAAAATATGTAAAATTCAATTTGCGGTAAAAAGTCGACCATAAATTATTATATTTTTAGGAAATAATAATATAATCACAATGTAACAAAAAAGAAATAAAAACCATATGCAAGTGTGTGATCGCAAGAATTATGAGTCATATGTAAAATGGCAAATTTGACATATACACGGAAATTCATATAGATAATAAAGGTGACAGCAGGGTGAGATAAAAAAACAACTGCAACAAAGTCAAACACCATAATTTTAACATTTTTTTTAATTTTTTTACTGAATAAAAGCAAAAAATGTCGGAAATAGCATCAAATTCTAGAATACCTTTAGATTTGTTCGAATTGGTCACCTTTGACAGGAATTATGGCCTTCAAACGGCCAATGAAACCGTCACACGCTACCCGAATATTGCTCTGTGGTTTTTTGACCCATTCCCGGCGGAGCGCTTGCTTGAGGTGAACGACACTTTGGTGTTTTTAAGTGCCAACCTTGCATTACAAAATACTCCAGGTACAATAGTCTAACGGATTGGTATCCGGAGATTTTGGTGGCCATTGTGCGCTGGAAATGAAGTGAGGAACCTCATTTTGTAGCCATTCTTGAGTGGCGCTTGCTGAGAGCAATGGTGCTGAGACCTGTTGAAATGTCCAAGGTCTGCGGCCAAAATGTATGGGTGCCTAAGGCATTAATACACCCTCCAGAATATTTTCGCGATAATATTCGGCATTTATTCTTATGACACGGTCGATTAAAACGAGCGGAGAGAGACAATCGGCTGTTATGGCGGCCCACACCATAACCATGGCCGGCGCTTAAATTCTGATGGACAAACGAAAGTGCACATTTTCAGCTGACCTCTTTGGCAAGTAAACACGATAAATTGGTTTATTTACAAACTGCTGGACAACGAATGATTTCTCATCGGAGAAAACCAAATTCGCCAGTTCACAACTTTCGGCCGAGCGAAGCAACTTTTTAGCTCTTTTGAGTCTATTTTCTTTCAGTTGCGGTGAAAGTTCTTGCACTTTTTGGAATTTCAATGGCTTTACCCCGAGCTTATTTTTTAATATTTGCCGAATGGAATTTGGCGATATGTTCAACTCATGAGTCATTTTTCGGCCACTACGACGCAAAAAATTGAAAAATATATGGATTTGTATGGTTTTATACGACGTCTTTCGACGTTTTTTATGACTTATTTTTTTTTTTTTTTTTAATTACAACTTTGAATAATTTTTCACTCAAAATTTTGAATTCCAAAATTGGTTTGACAGTCATTGTACCGGCAACTGATTCGATACGGTTTTATGTATTATTTCATCATAAGTAAACCCTGGGTTCAACCCAGACCTAGCGATCCCTATTTCCTCAGGCAACTCTTTCACTATTCTTCTTCTTTTTCCTAAAATTACATAAATGATAAACCAGGCAAAGATGTCTGTGATCCATTTATTTCTCCAGTCATTGGCTCCACATATTCGTTTCTCTTCCTCTCTTCTCCCGCACGACAACTCTCATCATTGCTAATCCTGTTTTCCGTTCCTCTTGACCATAAACATTTTGTTATGTTTACTGTTCGTGTCGCTTCACCATTCAATTCCATCTGAGAAGCTCTTGCCGGATCGTTTCGACAATTGCTTTTATGATTCTGTTTGTTTTGCTGCAGAATTGGGGCAATAGTGTCAATCGGTTGGTTGCCGGTTGTTGTTTTTGTTGTTATTGAAATGGCAATGGCAACAAACAACCATAATAGCGGCATTATTGTCAGCGGCTGCTGCTGCAACAGCGTTTACTACTGCTACCCTGGCCAGAAAAGCAGGCTACATTCACTTCCTTCAAAATACAATAACAAAACAACAACAACACCAGAAAAACACAATATCTGTAACTGTTTTAAATTTTTGTTTACAATAAATTTGTATTGCTTCATAAAAAACTTCTTTAATTGCCAACCAAAACTCAACACACTGTCAGACGACATACAAACACAGGCAATTAATGGAGGTTCTCTTTTGCTTTCGGCATCCAAAAGTTTTTTTTTACATAATGGGATTTGGGATAGTTTTAGCTTGGGAAATTATTTTATATATATTTGGAAAGGAAAAAAAAAACAAATAACCTAGAGAACCCTACATCTGCACCAATGTGTCCATAATGGACACTTGTTGATCTAGTGAACCCTTGACGATCTAGCCTGGAAATTACTTGCTCGACACTTGTTGATCTAGTAAACCCTTGTCAATATAATGAAGTCTGAAAAAAAACGATTAGAAAACTGAGGCCAAAACGATCTGTCAATTAAATTTGAATTCGCTGCAAACAATTGCGAAAGTATTTTTTGGGCATTTTAAATTTGTTGTTAAGAGAAAAAGAAAAAATTGCAAATTGCAAAAATTTTAAAAAGGAAAAATTTGTTATTATTTTAAAGAATATACAATTCTCATTGCGTATAACATTAAAAATCTGTTTTGTTATTTTTTTTTTGTGTGCAGCGAATTCAAATTTAATTGACAGATTGTTCTTGGCCCCAGTTTTCTAATCGTTCTTCAGGCTTTATTGTATTGGCAAGGGTTCACTAGATCAACAAGTGTCAAGCAAGTTATTTCCAGGCTTCGTTAGATCGTCAAGGTTTCTCTAGATCAACAAGTGTCCATTATGGATGCATTAGTGTAAATGTAGTGTTCTCTTGGTTATTTGCATGGTAGAAGAATATAGGTAAACGCGCCGACACAGCTGCTGGGACAGTGAACTGTCAAACCAATTTTGGAATTGAAATTTTTGAATAAAAAATTATTTATATTTGTAAAAATTGTTGAAAATCTACGTATATTTGAAAAAACATCTACCTGTATTCTTCTACCATGGTTATTTGCAAGATTTGAAAAAAAAGTGTTACCAGGGAAAAGTTAATTTTTTTTTCGGCCCAAGGATGAATAAATGAGAGAGAATGGAGTACATTTTGTCAAGTGAAGTTTACACCCAAATCACAGGTATGTTCGAACCACTTCAACATGTAGCATGTGGTAAAATTCGGAAACAAATATAGATTATTACCTATCGCTGTCCCAGAATACCGACCACCACTGAAGACATAAGTAATACTTCGAATTTGAGATGAGGGTTTTTATTTATATTGCACTGATTTTTACGATTATGGAAACGACTTCCGATATGGATACGTCACCACATGAACCACAAATACCCTCACGACATCAGCGACGGAAAATCAATGTGGGATTAATTTATTCTTGCAGCTTACATCCACATCACAGGTATGTTCGAATCACTTCAACATGTAGCATGTGGTAAAATTCGGAAACAAATATAGATTATTGCCAATCGCTATCCCAGAATATCGACCACCACTGAAGGACATAAGTAATACTTCGAATTTGAGATGAGGGATTATGAGAGATTTTTATTAATATTGTGAAAATAGAGTACAGACAATTATGGAAACGACTTTCGATATGGAAACGTCACCACAGGAATGAACCCAGAGTATACCAGCAATGTTCGTGGCACATGAACCACAAATACCCTCACGACATCAGCGATGGAAAGTCAATGTGGGATTAATTTATTCTTGAAACTTACACTCACATTACAGGTATGATCGAACCACTTCAACAAGTAGCATGTGGTAAAATTCGGATACAAATATAGATTACTGCCTATCGCTGTCCCAGAATACCGACCGCCACTGAAAGACATAGGAAATACTTCGAATTTGAGATGAGGGATTATGAGCGATTTTTATTAATATTGTGAAAATAGATTATAGACAATTATGAAAACGACTTCCGATATGGATACGTAACCTCAGGAATGAACCCAGAGTGTAAAAGCAATATTCGTGGCAAATGAACAACAAATACCCTCACGACATCAGCGACGGAAAAGCCAATGAGGGGATACATTTTATTCTTGATTTTGATCAAGACATCCATCACCAAGGACCGCATTCACCTAAATTAACCTGATAAGTTTGTGTGCAGGATTTCTGACCAGTTTTAATAGGATTTCAGCGGTAGTTTCAACCTGGTGGTTGTTTTGTTGGGTGCCCGAGCTGAGGACAGCACCAGCACGGCTCAACATTAAAATGCCTTCCTTCGTTCACCAATATCTTGTCTTAATAATGACGGGGTTTAAGTTTTGTATTCAATTTAAAAAAATATATATAAATTGAAGAACAGATTCCTAGAGCAGAGCTGTTTTACATACATTTTCCAATCCAGTGGTCAAACCTTTGATAACAAAAATATTCGCTACAGAATTCATCTGTCAAGGCGAAAATTTTTATTCTCGCCTC